CTGAACGTGTGGCAAATCAATTCCAACAAGACAAGAATTACTTTTGTGCAGTGATAAAGTGAGAACAATCTGAAAAGTTGGCTTCAAGTATCTGGAGGCGCAGAGTAGTGTAGTTTAATGACGTTGTCTTTTCAGTTAGGTATTAAGAAAGATCTAACATTAGAGAATTTGCAGCCGCGAAGCACACGCCTTCATCATTCATCATTATTGTGCCCAGTTTATTTTATGTTCTTATTGTACTGAACACTTTAGATAACACCCGTGAATAAGATTTAAGTATTGTTGTCACCTGTAAATATTCTTTTTCTACATACTTGTAATGCTTCTTGACGTTTTCGAGTGGTAGAATTACCTGGTACATTAAAGACGTAATTTTGTCCCATTTAGTTCTCACGAGTCTTACTTATAATAATTATTTTAAACATCAAAATGATCCGTACATGAATAATATTCAACTAGCTTGTTCAGTCTGTAAAACTTGTGAAAAGTAAATAAACTTCACCAATCTGTTGTTAACTCCGGCGCTACGGAGCCACTAATGGAGTTGTAAGCCTCTTTCCTAGAGCTTAAACCAGATTTTTACTTCATATTGATTCCCTATTAGAATAAAGGCGGTTTTCTTTCTATCATCCTTTTGTGTTTACGTCCAATTTTGGCCTCCATGTTCGTTTGCTTCTTCAAAACAATTTATTACCGCATCGTTTATATCTCTTCATGGGAAACCCAACCGAGACAGGAATAAGGCTTAACTCAAGTTTGCACAATAGAGTAACTGGAAAACCATTCTAGAATATGCATCCTGGGAACTGATTCATCCCTCGACTCTGTTTTTCTTTCATGTTTGGGTTTCCATGCACAAGCTGCACCATCACCTTAAACTGTCATTTCAGGATCCCTCTGATAAGAAACCTCAGTTCTAAGTAGAAGTTGTGGTCGATCCAAATGAACATGCCGAACTAGTAGATGGCGTGGCCAATCCAAATGAAAACANGTGCCCAGTTTATTTTATGTTCTTATTGTACTGAACACTTAAGACAACACCCGTCAATAAGATTTAAGTATTGTTGTCACCTGTAAATATTCTTTTGCTAAATATTTGTAATGCTACTTGACGTTTTCGGGTGGTAGAATTACCTGGTATAATAAACTTACATTAAAGACGTAATTTTATGCTATTTAGTTCTCACGAGTCTTACTTATAATAATTATTTTAAACATCGAAATGATCCGTACATGAATATTATTCAACTAGCTTGTTCAGTATGTAAAAGGAAAACAGTTTCATTTTGTTTTGCAATTTTATGGACCAAAACTTGTGAAAAGTAAATAAACTTCAAGAATCTGTTGTTGACTCCGGCGCTACCGAGCCACTAATGGAGTTGTAAGCCTCTTTCCTAGAGGTTAACCAGATTTTTACTTCATATTGATTCCCTATTAGAATAAAGGCGGTTTTCTTTCTATCCTCCTGTGTTTGCGTCCAATTTTGGCCTCCATGTTCGCTTGTTTCTTCAAAACAATTTATAACCGCATCGTTTATATCTCTTCATGGGAAACCTAACCGAGGCAGGAATAAGGCTTAACTCAAGTTTACACAATAGGGTAACTGGAAAACCATTCTAGAATATGCATCCTGGCAACTGATTCATCCCTCGACTCTTTGTCTTTCATGTTTGGGGTTCCATGCACAAGCTGCTCCGTCAACCTTAAACTGTCATTTCAGGATCCCTCTGATAAGAAACCTCAGTTCTAAGTAGAAGTTGTGGTCGATCCAAATGAACATGCCGAACTAGTAGATGGCGTGGCCAATCCAAATGAAAACACTGAACGAGTAGATGGTGTAGTTGATCCAAAAGAGAACGCTGGCTCAGTAGATGGTGTAGTCGATCCAAACAAAACTCCAGCTCCAGCAGATGACGTGGAACTAGACCAAAACCCAGCTGTAGCAGATGATGTCGATCCAAACGATAACCCAGCTACAGGAGGTGATGTAGTCGATCCAAACGATAACCCAGCTGCAGGAGGTGATGTCGATCCAAACGATAACCCAGCTGCAGAAGGTGATGTAGTCGATCCAAACGATAACCCAGCTGCGGGAGGTGATGTAGTCGATCCAAACGATAACCCAGCTCCAGCAGATGACGTAGTGGAACTAGACGAAAACCCAGCTCTAGCAGATAATGTAGTCGATCCAAACGATAACCCAGTTGCAGGAGGTGATGTAGTCGATACAAACGATAACGCAGCTCCAGCAGCTGATGGAGTTGATCCAAAAGAAAACCCTGTCCCAGCAGATGATGTCGTCGATCCAAACGACAACCCAGCTTCAGCAGACGACGTAGTGGAACTAAACGAAAACTCAGCTCGAGAAGATGATGAAGTCAATCCAAATGATAACCCAGCTCCTGGAGGTGACGTAGTCAATCCAAACGATATTCCAACTGCATGAGGTGATGTAGTCGATCCAAATGATAACCCAACTGCAGGAGGTGATGTAGTCGATACAAACGGTAACCCAGCTCCAGCAGATGACGTAGTGGATCCAAACGATAAACCAGCTCCAGCAGATGATTTACTCGATCCAAACGATAACCCGGCTCCAGCAGATGATGTAGTATTCGAACCAAAAGAATTAAACCCAACTCCTGCAGATAATGGAGCCGATCCAAAAGAAAGCTCCGTCCCAGCAGATGTTGTAGTCGATCCAAACAACAACCGAGCTCCAGCAGACGATGGTGCAGATGAAAAAGACAATCCAGCTCCAGTAGATGATATTGTCGATCCAAAAGATACCTCTGTCCCAGCAGATGATGTAGTCGATCCAAACGAAAACCTAGCTACAGCAGGTGATGTAGTTGATCCAAAAGATAACGGCGTAGCTGAAGAAAACGGTACTGCATCAGTAGATGGTGTCCCTGATCTGTAAGAGACCTTTTTGTTTTCCATCCTCTGCTCACTCACATTTCCTCCCTGTCCGAAAGAACCAAAACTGAATGGAACTCCCGAGCTCAAATTTGGTTTTTCGCTCAACAAACTAAAGGCCAAAATAGGCTTTTCATCAATTTGGCTTGTTTTAGGTGAACTAAATGAAAATCCTGCAACAAACGATGGAGTCTGATTCAATAAAACCTTTTTGTTTTCTTCTGTGTGCTCACTCCCATTTTTCCCCTGTCCGTAAGAGCAAAGGCTGAATGGAACTCCCGAGCTGGAATTTGGGATTTGGCTGGTCGAACCAAAGGAGTTAATCGGCTTTTCATGACTCTGACGTGTTTCAACTGAGCCAAATGAAACTCTTTCACCAAACGATGGAGTCTGATTGAAAAAAAACCCCGCACCACTAGGTAGTGTAGACGATCCAAATGAAAACACTGAGCCGGAGGATCGAGTCTGGTTAAATGAAAACTCCGCACCAGTAGATACTGTAGACGATCCAAATGAAAACGCTGAACCAGAAGATGGTGTAGAACCTACAAATGGGAACGATGTCCTCATATCATTTTTGTGGTCTTGTCTAGGTTCTGCTCCAGGTTTCAGACTTCCACAAGCTGCACACTCAACTTTATCACAGTCGTTTCTCACCATGCAGATGTCACACTCCCACGATCCTTCAGTGGCTTTAAACTTGGTGAAAAGATCGTCTTTGACTTCCTGGTGCCCTTGGTCTTCTTGAAGTGACTTCGCTGGTGTCTGGTTCTTCATCAGTTCTTGGCATTCTTCAAACTTCTCTTTGAAATGCTTTGCAATGTCTTCTGATTTAAACCTGACCGCA